AGATAGAGCAGCTTTCACACATCACACGTACTGTCCGGGAGCTTCAATACGAGGCATTGCGCTCGAGTATCGACAAAGTTTCAGGACAATGCGATGATATCTCTTGGTGGAAAGGCATCATACGGTTCTACTCGGTTGCATGAGCTGGATGAAGAGATGGTGGAAGGGTGGGGTCCAATTATGCTTCGTTCGATCAATTTTTCCGATGAGACGCCGCATTTAATGGAAAGGCCTCTCAACCGGATCAAATTCGACGATCTACTGTCACGGCGGTCGTGTCCATGAAAATTGTGAGTGCGGCTTTGAAGAGGCTCAAGCGTCGAAAGGCATCGAGTTCGAAAAATATAGACAACACCTCTTAACACGACTACGCTGACAAAATAGCTCCAATTCTAGTGATCTTGTATACGTGATGGATTGTATGCATGGTATTTCCGTCGTCGTTCGGAGAGTTACACATCCAGTGTTTGAAATTAACAGCGGCTTCAGCTTTGCCGCTGCGTCATAGCCCTATTGCGCTTTATAACAGCGACTACAATTTATCTACGAAGATTATTTAATTTCCAGTGCGGCCTATGCTATCACAGACAATTCTACCAACCCAAGTTCATTTTGCCTCAAAGCGATCGATTTATACAGCAAATGCTAGTTTTGATGCTGTACGTTAAGTAGCGGTTAACGACCCCTATCTACAAAGAATAATCGCTATTCTTCTCGATTTTGCTAAAGCTTACGACAAGCTACAGCTCCCATTCCGAATTCGGTGCTGATATGGCTTGAAGTTTTTCCCCGGTTCTTCATTGGTTGTTGATGCGTTACATCGCAATATGGCTTGCTAATTTACAGTAAATGGATATCAATCCAGTCGCCTCCCTGTTCGTTGTAGTATCCGAAAAGGGTGACCTCTTGCCCTACTTCTATTTATTTTGACCCTTGATAGTGCCTATCGGGAGCTACAGAAGGCGGATGTCCGCGTAGTGACACTTACGTGTAATGGGCGAGCGTCTGAGTTCAAAGTATCGGCATATGCCGACGACACGGCTGTCCAACTGCGCGATCGATCAATCGTGAATCATGTTGTCGATGTTCCGGAGGTCTATAATATTGTCTCAAGTCTTCTTATGTATCAAGTCAATTCTAAGATCATTGAGATCGACTTTCACGAGTCAATCCTTCCACTCGGCGCCCAAGGACCCACTTTGATTGCTCCTAGCGAGTTGTCAGTACCTTGGTGTGGTAGTGGGACGAAGTGACCACGTGGACGAGAACTGGAATAAGTGTTTCGATAGTTATGCTGTCGGCCCGTCGTAGCCAAGGTAAAGCCCACACAGTTCACCAGCGGGTATGTCGTTCTAATGACATTGCGGTACCCAATATAACATTACTAGCGCGTCACTGATGACCTCATCATGCCATATTTACACGTTTGCACGGCTTGGTCTTAAATTTTGAATGGGGGACCGCGATAGTAAACAGTCTAAACATTGGGTACCCGCAGCGATGGATACAGTTTCTATCCAACAGGGTGGACTTTCCGTGTCATGTATTCGAACTGAAAATCGAACAGTAGCAGCAAAGACGGTTGAACAGTGAGTGGCGACTGCTTCCACGAGAGTTACTGATCGGCGACATCCTCTGGCGTTATTATGCTTCGCGGCCTGCTTACATATTGCCTCGTTGGACTGAAGAAACGCATTCTCGATAACGGCCGTCTCTCTGGTTGACCGGAACTGAAATTGTTGGCATATATGAGGCTCGGCACGCCCGTCAAGATGAGGTGAGAGAAGTCTGACGACGCGCCTTACTTTTTACATATAGATCCGAGATAGTCTACGATGACGATGGTAGTGTCACAATTGATATTCGAGAGGCACTTGATGACCACATGCTGACCGGAGTGAAAGCCTAATTTGCGGCATCGGGTCAATTCGACACAAGATGGCTTGCATATGCTCAGATGAAAGATGTGTCATGGTTCCGGGATAGCCGCGGCAAACCGTACAATTGAGACGGTGCAGACTTTGCGCGGCTCAAGACTATCTTGGTGATACCTTACAATGATGCCGGGTCAGCGTGGGGAGACGAGGTTTTTACCCATATTCGACAAGGCTGCTCAGCTGGCAGCGAAGCGCCCACACATCGGGTCCTTCTACATCAACCTCCTTTATAAATTATTGTCGCTCTTAGATCGTGCTATTGAAATAGGCGCTTTAATCGCGTACTCCGCGAAGGTACATCGCTATCTCACTTCGACACAAGCATGTCGTGTGGGTCGACTCCCTTCAGATCGATGGTTGCGTGTGATAGCGCTGCTTCCGTGACTTGTGGATCCCCTGTGCTCTTTGGAGCACATTCGATGCTTACGACATCTTGCGACTCTAGGCAGGGTCAAGAAGTTTGCGGTGCAGCGAAGAAAGCTTAACAAGATTGTCTTGATTGGTAACGCCATGAAGGGCAACGGCTTCGGAATGAGCGTGCAGCAAAGCCCGAGTTCCTAATGCTTTCCGACGTTACCGATCTGATTGAGTGGAAAGACCTTCGTTAAATACGAGCGTCTTTTTCAAAATGTGCCTAAACATTTTATTGGCTAAAAAGTACCAGCTTTTCACTCTGGAACTGGGCGGCACAAGATCTTTCGTTTATCGTACCGGGGTGTGCAACCATTTAACCCGCCATGTCATCGTGTATTTTGGACTTCCCCCGTGCCCAATGACATCGGGACCATCTATTCTCTAGATAGCAACGTTTCGGGTCCTACCGGCGGCGGAACGACTCGTGCGATTGTTTGATACGAACTTGCTAAGTTATCCAAATGCTGCTTGGGAAGCTATCACAGTTTTATGTAACCCGGCTGAAGTTCCGTCTAACCCGAAAAGTGTGGAACTCCCAGTAGCCCAGAAGCTCCGGCCTTTTAGCTGTTTCGACAACGATACATCTCATATGGATCGAGCCCTCCCGCCGCATGGAAGACCCAAATCTTTTTCACGAGGTACACGTTGCCAGGGCAAAAACTCATGCCCGCCTTTCGCCAACAATATTTTGGAGCTCGATGTACCGGACTGCTGGTGCACAAGATGTACTACTTTTTTGCACAAGTCCGATCAGCTCTTGCTGCCTATCTCCTCTGCTTTGCCGAACCAATGACATTGCGGCTGCTGCCCAGTGCCAGTACCTCCGGTATTTCCTATCTCCTATACTTCGACGGGGAATCGCTAGGAATTCTCTGACCGGCGGAGCTGGATCTGTTAGAAAGTGAACATTAAGTGAATGACATGACCTGTATTATAACGCGCGCCAGACGCGTTTCGCCCCCCACCAGGGGCCTCGTCAGTGGCTAGTCAAAGCATAAGTGAGAATTACCCAACCTATATCTTTGTGTTGCCTAATACAACACCTATAACCCTAAAAACATTCCATGTAAGCTCTAGTGTAGGTCAAATATCTGGAGTCGATCCAAGTGCAACTCGCACTTCCAACAGGATCTGTACTTTTCGAGATTCATAGTCCCTCGCACACCGCGTGCATCATTTGGGTTGCAAGTATGTCATACAGTTTCGTCCACACTACGAGCAGTGTCGCTGAATACCGGGGGCTGGTGAATGATCTTCGCAAGGCAAAATCAAGTGGCGATTCATCTTTTCATATCGTCTGGAGGGCAGCGCTCTAGTGCTTTCTCAACGTCGAACTCATCGTTCTCCTCACAAGCCACATCTGCCTTTGTTATTTTGGGAGGCACGAGCCTTAGTACACAATATCGCCGTCGTCGGCTGGGGGTATCAATATCGATACTACAACAAGATGGAAGATCGACTAGCCAACATCGCTATGGACACCTGTGCTTCCGTTCAAGTACATGGACCCTTGGGTCGCCGTGTCGTCACTGAAGCTACGCGATTCCTCTACAATGATGTCAACCATTGGCTGGAGACTTCTCAAGCCGAACAACTTGAGCTCCAGAGCTACGCAACGACTGCGAGGGGTCAGGCCATCTCGAGACAACACCTTGCTCATGGCCGCTTGGATGTTAGAGGACTAGATCTACCCTAGTATATAAAGTGAGGATTCTACACAAAAAGAATTTGTTGCTGGTCGACAGCATAGAGCGGGTCGTTCGCGTACCTAAATATACCTCACCTTCTCACTCACTATCTTTCCGGCCACCTCTTCCGCGATCAGCAATCATTTAGAAGCATTCTTGAGTTCTTGTGAAAGGAGGGAGTACGGGTAGCAAGACCATGATGTCCTTGGGAGTAAATTTCTTTTCCAAAAACCTGTGTGTATCGACAGCAGCAGGTTTGACTTGCCCGTAAACTCCATCACCAATCAACGTCAACTTAAACAGATCATGCCTGCAGTAGAATAACTTAGTGGAATATCACTCGCTCATGGTTTCTTACAGTATTATGCCAGACTTAATCATAGCTGCAAAACAAACGATTCAATAGAGGCACGGTGATAGCTATAAAGTATTTAGTATGTTATCATTGGGCCCAAAACGGCCAAAAATGTATACTTAACTCACTTGCTACCATTGTATGTCTCACTGGCTGTCGTCTCGCCTCTCTCCTTTGACCTAATCTGTTGCAGCGCTGCCCAAAACGGACAAAGAGACTGAAACATGCAAAAGTGGCACAGCTTTTGAGTGCTGTCGACAACAAGGCTGCTTAGAAGTCACTTGGGCTGCAAAATCGACACGAGCAGATGACGTATGTCGTGGAGACGTTGTCAAGGGAGAAACTGAACAACATGTTGCGATCTATGGCGATGGAGATGCGAGAAAAAAGTGACGGCCGATCAGAGCTTCATTTTGGCTGGATACATCGTCTCCTTCGCACACTCCATCATCTTACGCAGCGCTTCGTGGACGTCTTGACTTCCTGTTGCTCCAGTCCGTCTACTGTTTGACGTGCATTTTTCCAGCAAACAACGCAACAAGCACCTCCTGCACAACTGAAAGTAGTCGAGCGCGAGTAGGTACTTGGCGACCGCCGTTTCAAGTTTCACGCGCTAGACTTTTTGAAACCCGCCTGGTGGCTGAGCGCGAGCAGGTACTTGCCGACCGCCGTTTCCAGTTTCACGCACTGCACTTTTCGAAACCCGCCTTGTGGCTGAGCGGTTATGAACATCTTACCCAACGCGCTCCGGTTGTACTGCTTTGTCAACACCAATGCCATGTTCAAGTTGGCATTCTCACCATACGCCCACTTCATGTACATATACCATCGATTGAGCACGGGACGCTCAAATATGTTTTGCCCTCCCTCGTGGAGCTCGAGCAGCACGAACACGTCGAGTCCAGACTTTTTCGTATCGCCCCAATACAGTTTCTGTTCCCAAGCCAGTCGATATGCCAGCGCACGTTCCAGTGAAGTGTCGCCTGCTGCTTCAATCATCCTTGCCACTGCCAAATCCGAGTACGTGTATGAGAGTATCGGCATCATTAACATCTTGTTGTTTGGGTTGTGCAGGTTGTAGAGGTTGACGAACGTAACCCAAGTGTAAAACTTTGGACTGTACGCAATTTTGTCCAGTCCAGTGTCGAGCCCCAGTCGCCTAAAAACGCTATCCACAGTTTCTCCTCTATAGAGCCAATACCGAACGCAAACACTGTTCGACAGTCGTTGCCACAACGACCTGACAAAGTTTCTCAACTTTGTCGGACCGGACTCGAAGGTGGTAAACGAAGGAAGGCTGTTCTTGATCATCGGCCGCAGTGACTCGAACCAGGACCTTGTCAGCGACTTAATGGTCGGCGGGATGGATTCGGGCAACACATTAGGAGGAACGGGCAGTGCTCTCTCTTCCAGTATGTCGGGGCTTCGAATCCTTCTGGTAGCAACTTTGTCATGGGTCGTAGCCAACGGTGCAGTGTCGGGTGCCGCCCCTGTCGAGGCTATCGTGCCCGTGATCGCGTCAGCTTTCGCCTGCATAGTCGTGAGCATAACGAGCACGTATAGCAGAGGGACGCCCAAGCGGCGCATGATTTGGGTCGACGGTGACGTACTGGCAAACGCGTGCGTCAAAAACAAATGGACAACTATTACTCGAAGAAGGGGCCGACTGGGAAGAGGGACACAGAATTTTTTGGAGGAGACTCCGACAAGAGTAAATCTCAAAACCACTACCACAAATGTACAAAAGCCCCAAAACCAGTACGATACTCAATTCAAGTATAAAAAGACACTCTAAGGCTAACCAGATTATACTTAACTGCAACATGGAATAAGAAACTGCATGATTAATAGGGAGAGGCGAGGCGGCAGCAAATAAAATAGACAACGGCAGCAAGTGAGGCAGCAAGTGAGGAAACAAGTGAGTTTAAATATACATTTTTGGCCCTTTTTGCATAATGTTTACTTACGAAATAGCTACCAGCTCCCATCGTGCCTCTGATGAATCGTCTTGTTTTGCAGCCTTGATTAAGGTTGGCATAATACTGTTGAAGGATCGATAGAAGCAGCTGGCGGGATGCCTTCGGGAATACGCGCGGGTTGAAGCGGTGGGCCCATTCCAAAGGGTTCTGCGTTCATCATCGGTTTTTGCTACTGTTGCGGCTGTAGCGGTGTCATTGGCTGCGGCTGGTGGTGCTCTAGTGGCGGCAGTGGCTACTGGAACGCAAAGGGGCCTTGTGGACCTGCGGGCGCGCGAAATGAGACACTGAGCAGATCCAATTTGACCTTCACGCGATGTTGTTGCGGATGCGGTGCTTGATACATCGAGGCTTGGGCTAAAGGAGTCTGCTGCTGCTGTTGTTTGGTGGCTCGATGCACGAAGCGTGGAGGTACGACTTGTTTGACAGGTAGCAGTAGTCGTGGAGCGTGCGTTCGGCTCGACGCGTCGAGCTGGGACCGGTGCACCGGGAATGCCACCAAAGGTAGCCGAATCTAACATCTGCCGCTCGTCGACGGTGCCATTCGCTTCGTCATCACTCGAGGGCCCGTCATTCTCATAGTTGCTCGGGCTAGCGAACACTTGCTGCGGCATGATGTTGAAAAGACTGAGGAGGGTACGGTCCCTGGCCGCCTATAGCGGCACAAGGTGGATGCGTACCGTAGCCACCTTGTACCCGTAGATGCCCTAATCACCTTGGTTATACGGATTGGGCAGGCCAGTGCCCACAGGTATGTAAGCTCCAGTTGGACCAGGTGCGAGGTTGTCGGGTGTGGGTATTCCCATAGGGCCCCACACGTTCTTAACAACCCCGCGCTTTCCAGCATCGAAGCTCGTAATAGGGTCTGGGCCAGTAGAACCGCCGAGCCTAGGCGTGCCGCCCTGACCCACCGATGTTACCCTAATCATTGACCCCCCCGAACGATCCTTGCTGGTCCACAAGGGGAAGCTTGGTCGGACACGGAATTTAAGGCTTCTACAGCTGCGTACATGACGACTCAAAAGAGGCACGGTACGAGCCGGTAGCTCTATGAATTGTTAGCATTGGGCACGAAAGGGCCAATTATATGTAGTTCAACTTACTTGCTGCCGCGCTTGCTGTCATTGCCTGTTTCACTTACTATCCTCTCGCTCTCTTAAGCAATCAAGCAGTTTCTTGTCCCATGTTGCAGTTAAGTATAATGTGGTTGACACTATTCAGCATGTTTTTTATACTTGAGTTGAGTATCGTACTGGTTTTGGGACTTTTGTGCCTTTGTGGTACTGTTTTTAAGATTTACTCGGGCTTGGGTACGCATCTGGTGGATAGCGTGCTCGATCTGCTTCGCCACCCTATGGGTGCAGAGTAACCGGTAGGTGCACAAGCACGAGGAAACAACCGTCGACCAAGCCGAATCGGAACTACGTCACACACTGCTTCGACAGCTTCAAGCTGTAGCGGTCAGGGAAAACCGATTTATACGGGACGGAGACGACTGCATATTTTTCGGCTAGCGACGGAACTGTTTCGAGCTCCGGCCACTCAGCGGCCGGTTACTCGATATGAACCGGGAAGGCAGCTCACATCACCGGTAGGGGTGCTCGAGCGGCTAGAGACTTTTAAGCTATCTTGTAAACCGTAAAGGTATAAAGACAGACCGTTACTCTCTCTCTCTAACAACACTTCGATCGCATGATATTGCTCGTCAGATTGGCATGTGATCGATGCTCTTCTCTGTTCTCGGGCGTCAACGCAGAAAGAGCGACGACACTTTTCTTGACCTAGAGATAAATCACATTCGGTCTACAACATCGATGATACATTTGCCTAACGTCATGATTCGTACTTTGTTTGATAAGCATATACCTCTTCGCTCCTAGAGTTGACCACTGGGGTTCATTCGTTTACTGGCAAATACACAGGAAAGCAACAAGACTGTAGGAGGAGACAGCATGTACGTGCTCAACGTCTACTACTTGGCAGTGCGTTTGGAAACGTAGTAAGTAGCTTTGACCAGGCGTACATATGACAATGTCAGGCCCGTGTGCATCCCACACAGTTTGTCGTCACAACCGTTTCATCAAACGAAGGAGCTGGAATGTGGCCCCCTTGTCCACGTGGTCTCTACGGCCGCTTGCGCTTGGTACACACGATGCGTACGCCGCGATATGTACCTTTTTGGTTTGTCGAAAGTCTGATCCTTCTTGTCACAAAGGTAGCACTCACGCTCACACGACTACAAGCTGGTTGTTTTACGACGAGTACAAATCCCAAGAACACCCTCCTCCTATGTTGCTGACAAAGTTCAATCAGAAAATATGCGCCACGCGCTCAGAAACCGTGATGGACTGCTCAAAGAACCGTCGATCTGGTCGCATAAGCCGCATGACCCGAATTGGCGGTACATGACACTAAAAGGTCGAGGAGATGGGGCCAGGCACGATTGTTGGAAGTCTGCGATACCAGTCACTGCGCTTGGTGCTCGTGAGTAGAATCTGAAGGTGTCACGTACAATGACATCGATCGCCAAACTCAACAGCGTCCAACAAAGCATTGGTGTCGACTTGAGAGGAAGACGTAAACGCTGGTGTATGCGGCTAGAAGTGGTTTAGTGTGAAGGCTGCGACAATCTCTACCAAGGCTTACAGAATTTGATGGTGAACTCGTAGAGGACTCACAGGCGTGTCGCCAGCTTTGGTAAGCCGTGAACGCCCTTTAATCTAACGTGGAAACGAATAGCACAGAGAAAGGTGTGACTTGTGAGCTTACTGATAAGCATCGCATGATAATGATGCTGAATGCAACGATAATATATACTGGCGGATCGTGTATATTGACTGTACAGTTTAGTCGACCCTGGTTTTTTTCGCAGTTGATACACTGCAAAGGTGATGCCAGCCACAACATCACGAGATCCATCGAAGTAGCGCAACAACACGTCGTTAGATCTTTGGCACATTGTGTTTCGATACTGTACGCTGATTTATTGTTGCTGCTCGCGTCTTGACTGCTGAAACCTTTTAGTTTGGTCCCATTTGTAGTTGCAGGTGAAGGCGAAGCGACTCAACGCGCCGCAGTTTTCGGTTTTGGTCATTCACTGACAGTAACATACAGTCGGTCACATGTCGGGTCCGTCTGTCTACCTCCTGTGTCCAAAATCACAATCGGTGTAGCAGCAACGGCAGTCGGAATGCCGGTGTCTGCATCCCGCCAGGTAATCTGTTGGTGTATTTTCTTCTCACAAGCGTCATGCCAAGTATGTCGTTCCTTCAGCTGATGAACAGGTATAAGCATCTTCGAGAAGTTGGACTTGGACATGGAGATGTGACATTTGAGACTGGTAACTACAGAGCTCCAGCGCGAATGCAGCGAGGTGAAGAAGGACCATCTCTCGAGCTTTGTAAAAGCTTTTCTTGCCTTTTGACACAGCGTATCACAAAAGAACGATGCACCGGCATAAAAACGGATGGATGTTAAGCTGGTAAGTACGGCATCAAGTACTGGGGCTGCAGCTGTGGTCCGAACGCAACGTTCATGTGGAAGGTACCCAAAACATGCGTAAACGCCACAACCGATCGAAAAGGCAAGAGGGCCATCGCTCAGACGGACTTACAAAGCTTACTGACGAGATCGCAGCAGGACTTCAATTACGACGTAGAGGATCCAAGTGCACTTTTGATCATGCTGAGTGCGTCAAGCACCACCAAAAAGGCAGGTTACCATATGGCGTCAGCAATGTCACCTTCGTATCTAGCCTCCTCGCGCTGCTACGAGTCATACTTAATAATCGTCGCCGCGAGACACGACCTCCTTGCAGGTGGGACGCAAGACGATCGTGTGCTCGTATTGCGCCGTGTAGCTACCCTTCACGTCCACGAGCGGCGGGTATGCCGTAACGATGCCCGTATCCACCAAATTCTTCAGAGCCATGAGATATTTCTCCTGCTTGGCGCCCTTTGGGTTGATAGTGGCCGAGCCACCGTCCTCACGTTCGATCCACCGGCGGCACCAAGGCAACGTGCCGAATGTACGAGTGATGTGTCCTAGCAGCTTCTTGGCGCGGGGCAGACGCAAAGGCACATGAGGCACATCGAATGCCTTAGCGTAGTGCGAGCACTCGCCGTCTTCAACCACGTAGCCACGGCCAGTGGTGTTAAACGTCTCAATGGCAAAAATCTCGCCCTCCTCCATCTTGGTCTGATCGTCCGTCTTCACAATCGGCACGCTCTTGCCACCGTGGATCTGGTACGGACCAATAGAGTGGCCGTTCAGGTTACGAATCGACTTGACCGTATGAGTCTTGCCCTCAATCGTGACTTCATATGACTCCATGACTTCCTGAATAGAGCCACCGATCTCGCCCAAACGGGCATCAATGCCTGCATGCGCAATACCGGCCTCTGTCGCAGCCTTGGCTGCTTCAAGAAGCGGATCAAACTGCGGGTCGAACGCTACTGTCCACGCGCTGTCAATGATGCGTCCATTAACGTGCGTGCCAAAATCCACCTTCATCACGTCCCCGTAAGACAGAACCGTCTCATCGCCCGAGTTCGGCGTATAGTGAGCCGCGACGTGGTTCAACGAACAACCGGTAGGAAAGCCAATGCCACGCTGCACAAAACAATAGCCACAACGGCCACACGTTACTATCTTCACATACAAATGTACTGGAAAAAAACACATGTGGGGAAACCAACACATTCTACTGCAGCAACACCACTACACGTACCGCAAAACCCGCCTCCACAACCAGCTCGCGGTTCTTGTTCTCGAGCTGCGTGCACATATCAATGAGCTTCACGCCTGGCTTAATGATGCTCTGTGCGAATTTGCGCACGTGACGGTGCACTTCTGCGGCGTGGCGCACCGTCGCATACAAATCTTCCTGTGCGCGGTCCAGTGCACGCTTCTCTTCGCTCGTTGTGCGAAACGTATTAAAGTCGCCAGGATGGGCCTGAATCTCGCCCTCGGGGTACTGACCGTCGGCATAGAGCTCCTCAATGGGAATCGTAGGTGGGTCCGTCTGTCCCAAGGCCACATAGCTGTCGGTGAACCCCGACACGCCTCGGAACGGCGGCGCCTTAGAGCCAACACTGGCCGTGGCTGTACTTTTCTTTTTCTTCTTGGCGCTCTTCTTCTTCTTCTTCTTCGACTTCGTTGTCTTCCTCTGACTGTCCACCGCGTCTTCGTCTCCCGTCACCTCTTCACAGCCGTCCGACCGCCTCTCGACGTGTGCCTCAAGTTCCGGAGCCTTTGTCGTCGTCAGCGCCGCCGTCGCCGCTTCCTGTGCCTCGACCATCGCCATCCGCGACGCGTCCTGACAAATATATAGACTTGCGAGAACGGGTGGTTACGATTGGAAGTAACCTGGTTACTGCGACGTGGTGTTTTGGCGTACAGACACTCTATTTTCGACACCTCTTACCGTCAGTTATGTGGTGCCCACAGAAACTAGACTTGATACGCCATTTTCGATGTGCACGAAAAAGGGAAAACGCTTCTGTCAATCTTTCGAATACGTAAAACGGGTAAAGACAAACGTATCGGCTTGTCGTTCAACAATTGCAGGATGTTCGATTCATCATGAGCTAATCGGCAACGTCGGCGTCTCATGTGAGCCCGGTGTTTGCATGGGGTGTTGGATACGAGTCCAATGGGCGATAAGGATATACTGGTTCAGCGCTACGTACAAGGCGCGCTGGCTGCCTCCGAAAGGAGACGAGCAGTGCAGCGCAACCCCAGCCCAGTGGTCGAGACACTGAGTAGTTATCCTCTGGCGCCGGCGCCATGGAGCAGCATCTTAACCAACAGCCCGACGCCGGAGTATGGTATCGTATAACATCAACCGCAGCAGATAACTAATCTGCTGCAAGCCCAGGGCTGGCAAATTGTGTCCACAGACCTGGCGCAACCTCCACGACCACTCGCTGTGGCAACACCCACACAAGCTGTCTTGCCAGCACCGACAGATATCTTTATATTGACGAGCGCAAGTGGAAATTAAGACGTGACGATGGCAGAGCCCATGCACGTAGATGAGATTTTCGACGCTTTCGGCCTGGAGTCGCGGTTGCGACGATTAGATTGACCAGCCAGAGGAGACGCATTGATGATGAGCAGAAACAGCACTTCAATGCTTACAACGAAGCAGAGCAGAGGCTTATGCACGAGGCGAAGCGCCTCGAAGTAGAGCGTATGGAGACTCAGTAAGCTCAGATTGAGGATCGGGCCAGGCTGGATAAAGAAGCGATTCGCCGTGCACACCACGTCGCTCGGATAGCTCGCGTGCAAGAACATGCGAAGCAAGAGCTGAAAGGAGAAGCGCTACGACAAGCTCAGCAAGTTGCTGGGCTTACGCAAGCCCAGCGAGGCATTCAAGCGCATGCGAACTCACAAGAACCGCAGCAAATTAACACCGAGGGTTAGCTGGCAGAGCGACAAAGTATGCTACAAGACTTTGATCAGCGTCTCAAAGTCAAACGAAAACAGCTAAAGAGCTTACTTAACACCAGCTGGCTGAAATTCTCTGCTTCGGGTGAAGAAAGAAAATATGAGTTTCCAGCGCCGACAAAAAGATAAGATGCATCGTGGTAGCGTTTTTACCTCGGAGCAGGTAGAAGAAATAGTGAATGCTGAAGCGAAGGACGCTAATCAGCTCTGGTGGCGCGACGTGCAGGTTCAATCGACATAGCAGTCTCATTGCAGTCGCTGGGGCATTTTGACACCGACTTGGCAAGCGCGATCTACCTAAAGTGTTAACAAATTGCCCTCGATTGCCCTCCCCACCACACGGATTCGAAGCTGAGCATCCGTAACTTTGATGATAAAGACTTACAAAGGACTTGGTGGTTCTTACAGGAAAAAGGCGCAATTATTTAGAGAGGAACTTGTTGTTTGTGAATTTGGTTGCGAGTATCGATGGACATAGCTATGAAGTGTCCAAGTCAAGTCAACACCTACGATTTAGAGCGGCAAAACACTTTAATAGCCGAAAAGGGGAACGGCACGCAACCACCCTCACTTTGGGTTACGCTATGGAGCAACTGGAACCAGCATTTACGATCTGTATTAACACGATGCAGACTATGATCCTTTTCAAGGCAAAGCGTCTCCTGGTTCCCCTTGGAGCGACCAAGTGGAACCAGTACGGAACGCAACGAGTGCACCATCGTACCCACTTCTGAGAATATCGTCACGTGCGCGTCGCAGGATATGAGAAATACATCACTTGCAAAGTGGGAAAGGAAACGAGGAGATTACTGTGCCCAAGCGTGTGAGCTCCCTCATCGGGCGCAGGAAGTGGATCACTCAGCGCAATGTCTACGCAGTATGGTACAGTCAGTGAATGCGGTAAGCGAAGAAGACTCCCGGGCGTTTAGGCTTTGTGGCAAGATATGTCATACCGCGCTTTCGTGTCGAAAAGTAAGACAGACGTGCCAAGAGACAAGGAAGTGCACTTTGTTCCGGCAACCTTTACCGAAAAAACAACAAATTTAAAGATCTTGGACACCGAGGCCAGTCGCCATTTGATTGCTTATAAGAGGTTTCTATGTGACCCTAACCATTGCGCCAATCAGGTAGTTATTATGAACAAGCCGACGGCACCCCCATAGTTACATATACCGAAAAGTAGATTCACGGGTGCGAGTGGGAGCATCACTAAAATTACGTAGACAAACGTCTGACTAGCTCCACGACTAAGGCGGAATACCCTTTACTCTTTCGTATGGCCACTTAGCACGATTCTGGTGTATCATTAGCAAAGTAGATGGGAGACACGTGTTGCTGAAGACGACGTTGTTGTGCCCAATGCTGGAGCAATCGACCCGCGCTCAAGGCAGAGATGGAACCTCTTGAAGATCATCATCGTTTCGGTCACCTAACTTATAAGACGATTGGACATGGCTAAAGAGCGCTCACTTATTATTATTGTTACGAGCCATCCTATGGAACTGTACCAAACTAGCGTCGAGGATAAGCAGACCCGTGCCAATCAACCAGAGACAGATACCGGTGATAGCGCGCCGGCCAACCAAATCGGAGCTTCTATTTGCAGCGACATTAGAGGCGCATCTCACCACGCGATCGGAATAGCGACATGTACATGATCAACGTTATCGGTCACAAGTCCAATGATTGTCGAGTTTTTCTGGCTTCGACTAAAATAAAGCCGCAAATGTGTTTAAACGCTTTTGGTGTGGGTTGAGAAGTGTCTCCACTGCAGAGTGCGTGCTATTCGTACAGACATGATGCATCGTAATGTGGACTAATTTTTTCAAACCACCCGGGTGACTCGAGGGAATAACGAGGCAAATAGTCAGGCTGGAATCAGGAAAGCCAATCGTATACATCGTACTATGCTTAATACAGCTCGGTGCACCGTCAAGCCAAGAAGGTATGATACGCGCCCCAGATCATTTAATACAGATCGTTCACGCAAGCGTGTGGTTGTTTTATCAATGTCGCTCGGAGTTTTTACAATCAGCATGTCATCAACATACACAGTGAAAAGAATAATCCACTCATCGACATATCGATAATACAATCCCACATCATAAGCGCATCAAGCGAGCGTGCAAAGTCTGATATGACAGCCTTGCCGCCTGATTAAGACCATAGAGGCCTTTCTTCAATAGATGTACACGTCCAGTACCGTCATCGAAGTACATCGGCTGTGCCATATATATCGTCACCCCGATCAGCCAACGATTGATAAATGCTGTTCCAAGATCAACGTTCCTTCCCTCAAGTGCTGAAAACATAGCGATCAGTAGCACCAAGATTATAGTTGGTATACGCACAATGGGCGCATAAGTCCTGTTGTATTCCAACCCAGCACGCTGTTTCGAACCATGAATTACAAGTCTTGCTTTGTAGCGCATGACCTTGCCGTATTCGTCCCGTTTAATTTATAGCACCCATCGGGAAGTGATCGTTTTAGCTGGTGTTCCCAGGTTGTTTTTCGGGCGATCCACAAGGATCCATATTCCATTCCGCAATAGAGAAATAATTTTTGCTTGCATGGCCGTCTTTCACTCCTGCCTCTGAGGAGATATCAAGGTCCCTTCCACTGTGGTTGCCTCTTCACCCATTACATCCTTCACCATCAGCTGATGATCACTCAGCCTGACATTCAACCGTGTTTTACGCGTTGAACGCCTTGTAGGCGATTGTAAAGTTGTAATTGATGACAGCTGTCGTTTGGAAGACGCTGTTCTTGTGCGTTCTTGGCCTCGAGCTGGTGCATTGACAAATTTCGATTCTGAACAGGATGGTCCAGTTACAGATCTCCTTGTATCGCCGCCCGCGAGCTGTGCAATGAAACGTCTTCTTCATCCACTTTCGACTCATTACTACTCGGTGATGTTGCGCCCCGTAATCCATGCGCACCATTGTTGACCTCTTTTTCCTTGTTATTTGCAGTAATAAACTTGTAACCTAACTTCCACTGAACGCGTAGCATCACTTTACATTTCTTCTTTCGCCACGTATTCGACTGGTAGAGGTACAAACGGAATTTCTCAAACATTACGTATTGACCTTTGATCAGTGCCTTCAAATGTTTCTTGCGTACTGTCATGTCCTATCGATAGTGAACTTCTAGATCTTCTACTGTTCCGCCAGTCCTTAGATAGAGTAACCGATAGCCTGTTGACACTTGAGAAAACTCAAACAGCAATGCTGGATCGGCCTTCACATTAAGCTTCATTTTTCTTCTCTCACTTGGCACATGAATAAATCCCACTGATCCGCATACCTTGATCTTGCCCACATCAGGTTTTCGGCAAATCATTTTTTTGAACGGATTTTTCCCCGTTAAGGTTCTCGTTGCATTCATGTTGTCAATGTCCACAATGTACGGAAGTACTTCCGTCCACATACGTGTTGGGAGATCCGCAGCAAGAATCGCCGCGCGCATCTTTTTCACCAATACACCGTTGAGTTTTTCTACTAGCACATTCTCTTTTGGCGTCTATGGATGCGTGGGTACAAATCGGACGCCTTTTGCCGCAATAAACGCTTTGAGTTCGTCATAGACGAGCTCACCACCACCATCGCTTGCGAATTTCTGAGCATAATTTCCTGGTGCCAGCATCTCAGTTACCAGACGAATAATGTCAACGTTGGATTCGGTTTTCAGCGTTAGCGGATAACGGCACTTAAATCGTGAACCTTCATCGTGAATCAGCTGAAATTATCGATAATTTTATACGCCGTGTAAGTGCTTATCCATGTCACAGACATCGGAAGCGATTCTTTTGTAGTTCACTTTTGTACGCTTTTCCGCTGCGTTTGCCTTGTACGACATACGTTTATGCTTTGCTGATATACAACTTAAGCAGGTGAACCACTGTTTAAAGGGCTCTGTTGGTATTTACATACCGCTTACAACGTTATTATCATCCATTTACTTGGTGGTTAAAATGTTTAGATGTCCTAAACGCTCGTGCCACCGCATAACCTAGCTTTCATCAACGTTGAGTTTCACCATAGATAAACCATTCACGACCAATGTCTCCGACGATTGCAGCCAGTAGTGGCCGCCGGTCTTTATGAAATCCAACCGTTTTGATCCTCGATCTGACCAGATCCTCCTCGGGATCATAGTTGGTGGACTGGATGATAGGACCCGCTTTTTCTTTTCCATCCTTCCGAGAAATATCAGATTGGTTGATCCTTGTGGAGCATATTTCACGTCAGCTAACTGCACCTGCATCATGTCCTTCGTATCAGAGAGTTCATAGAGCGTACAAGTACTGATCCACTTATTGAACCGTTTGTCTTCTGGCCTGTCCACACTGTAAACTATGTCGTGGACTTCTTCAGGATCGTGAACCTGTCGCGATCTATGCACACGTGAGTGGTGCTGCCACAGTCCATCACCCATGTTGAAGAATTCCCTTGAAATGTCTTTTTCATCACCATGGCAACCATCGAAGATGATTCTTCGTCGCTGTCACTATTGCTCGTTCTTCGGTGGAAGTTACCTCTTATCAAGTTTACCGATGCCTGTGCTGCCTCTTCCCCATTCCTTTCTTGGTGTCTATTGTCTTTCTTTCTCGTGTTGAATTTGTATCGATTGTTTTCATGAGACTTTATCTGTTATCTGTTTTTTGAAGTGTCAATAGTCCCTGCGAAAATGACCATTCTCACCACAGTGAAAGCACTTGATCTTCTTCGCTGACTTGACAACTCCTTGACTTGATCGATACCTGGACGAATTGCCGACGTTCATGACCACAGCTCTTGTGTCACCGTCGATCGCACCAGGGGTTTGTTCCGCTATCTTGTTGCGC